TCTTGTAAACGTTTGCTGTTATACATAATTTCACTTTCCTTTATTAGATCAGTGATGTTATGCTTATTTGAAATTTGAAACAGCGATTAGGATACTACTGAGAAAGTGTTAGAAATATTGGAAACGATGTGATTTTTGAAAAAAGTCGACGAGTAAAATTAAATGGGGAATTCAGGGACACAGATACTATTTTAGGATTAAGTAACACCATGAAATTAAAAATTAAAAAAACATGGTTATCCGAAATTCATACAGTGGAAAGTATGGCACATGTATTGGACACTTATAATAACCTAGAGGTGCCGCAGATATTTAGGGTTTCACAACACTTTTGTCCTTAAGACCCTCATAATCGAAGGCAGCAGTTAACAACAGCCGAACACGAGCAGAGAAAGTCCAAGCACAAGCTGAATACATAGAAGCAAACAAAAAAGTGAAGAGGAGCATTAGAGCAGACAAGAAGAAATACGTGGAAGAACTAGCAACGACGGCAGAAAAAGCTGCTAGAGAAGGAAATATGAAACAGCTTCACAATACAACGAAGAAACTAGCAGGGAAATACAGTAAACCAGAGAGACCGGTCAAAGACAAAGAAGGCAAGCCAATCACCGAAATTCAACAACAGCGTAACAGATGGGTAGAATACTTCGAGGAACTCCTGAATAGGCCGGCCCCAATGAATCCACCGGACATCGAAGCAGCACACATAGATCTTCCTATAGATGGCAATCCACCAACTACGGAAGAAATTAGAATGGCCGTCAGACAAATCAAGAACGGGAAAGCAGCAGGACCCGACAACATACCAGCTGAAGCACTGAAATCAGACATCGAAGCAACCACAAGCATGCTTTATCTTCTATTCAAAAAGATTTGGGAGGAGGAACAAGTGCCGATGGACTGGAAAGAAGGACACCTCATCAAGATTCCAAAGAAAGGAGATCTGAGCAAATGTGAAAACTACAGAGGCATTACACTACTGTCAATACCAGGGAAAGTCTTTAACAGAGTGTTGCTGAACCGGATGAAGGATGCAGTAGGCGCTCAACTTCGAGATCAACAAGCTGGATTCCGTAAGGATCGGTCGTGCACAGACCAAGTTGCAACACTACGGATCATCGTCGAACAATCAGTTGAGTGGAACTCATCACTATACATAAACTTCATTGATTATGAAAAGGCATTCGACAGTGTAGATAGGAGGACATTATGGAAACTTCTTCGACACTACGGAGTTCCTGAGAAGATTGTCAATATAATCCGGAACTCATACGACGGACTACAGTGCAAAGTAGTGCATGGAGGACAGCTGACAGATGCATTCCAAGTAAGGACCGGAGTCAGACAAGGCTGTTTACTCTCTCCCTTCCTCTTTCTTTTGGTGGTCGACTGGATTATGAAGACCTCAACATCTGAAGGAAAACACGGAATACAATGGACAGCTCAGAACCAATTAGACGATTTGGACTTCACAGATGACCTAGCCCTCCTATCACGTACACACGAACAGATGCAGATAAAGACAGCCAGTGTGGCAGCAGTCTCTGCATCAGTAGGCCTCAGCATACACAAAGGGAAAACTAAGGTCCTCAAATTCAAAGCGGAGAACAGCAATCCAATCACACTTGATGGCGAAACTCTGGAAGATGTAGAATCCTTCACATATCTGGGAAGCATAATCGATGAACAAGGCGGATCCGATGCAGACGTAAAGGCGAGGATCGGCAAAGCAAGGGTCGCATTCCTACAACTGAAGAACATATGGAACTAAAAACAACTTTCAACCAATATCAAAGTGAGAATCTTCAATACGAACGTCAAGGCAGTTCTACTGTATGGAGCTGAAACTTGGAGAACTACAACAACCACAATCAAGAAAGTACAACTATTTATAAATAGCTGTCTACGCAAGATACTCAACATACATTGGCCGGATACCATCAGCAATAGCCTTCTGTGGGAGAGAACAAACCAACTTCCAGCTGAAGAAGAAATTAGGGAAAGACGATGGAAATGGATAGGACATACATTACGCAAATCGTCAAACCGCATCACGAGGCAAGCCCTAACTTGGAATCCTGAAGGGAAGCGAAAAAGAGGAAGGCCAAAGAACACATTGCGTCGGATAATAGAAGCAGATATGAAAGCGATGAATTACAACTGGATGGAGCTAGAAAGGATTGCCCAGGACAGGGTTGGATGGAGAATGCTGGTGAGCGGCCTATGCTCCTTCACGAGGAGTAACAGGCGTAAGTAAGTAAAGTAATCGAAGGATACCAACGCGGTCAAATCAGGAGTCAGAAATAAAGAAGTTCGAGGATATTTTTGGAAAGATATCTTTTTGTAGAGAAGCGTTTGATCTATGCTGGTTAGTAGTTGCAATAGATGAGTAGCAGCACACCCAGCCGTAATCTGATGAGAATGCGTGACCGAGCACCTTCAGCTGGAGCGTGTAGAGTAGGACTAGTGAGGTCAGCGTCAGTGTTCAAGAATTACGGAATTATTTATTCTGGGGATTTATTTACCGTTACAAACCTAACCAAGATATTACTACATGAGAAGGAAGTAATAATGTTTGAAACAAGTAACAATATTTAAAACTGAAGTGGTTTAGTGTGAATAAAAATACATGGCGAAAAACTCAACACCCTAAAGCAAGTTATGTATTGAAAAACAAAACAGTAACGACGGTCATGTTATGAATGTTACTCGTAAGTTGTTTTTTAAGGTAAAACCTTAAAATAGTTCTCGCTAAATTGTTAAATGTGATGTTACTAGCTTGCCAGTGACGGTATAAAGACAAACACAAATCTGACAGCTTTATTGTGAAAGAACTAAAGCTGACTGTCCCATGTAGTGTAAAGCACTCTCAAAGAGTATTGGAACACTATCATTATCTTCAGTCAAAGGCCGTGACCAATAACGCAAAAAAAGGAAAGGTGTAGGATGTAATTATGTGAACGCCAAAAGTAGCGGAAGTAGTAATTAATTACAAGTAGACTTTACTCACAACTGCTTCAAATAAACAATAGACATTGAATATAAATATGACGATGTCATACAAAAGAGAAGCAATGTATTTAATTGTATTTATAAAAATTAATAAATGTATATATCACGATACACTTATCAGGAGGGAAATCATCTGTCAATAATTCTTTTAAAAAATACCGCATTCACGGAAATTTAAAATGAACTAATCTTCAGTTCATAGGAATTCCAAGCATCTTGTATGTGATGAAATATTTAGTTTCTGAAGTTAACATGTATGATGTCTCATAAATGTTACTTAAAGATATAACCCCAAAGTATATGCAAAAAATTGTCACTACTCACTCCGTATGAAACGATACTAACAAAGGAGGAAGTTCAGGATTTAAGAAAGTGAATTTAGTTTTCCGAACAATAAATAGTGTAAAGAAGACTTTAAAAAATTAACTATATATCAACGAGATGAACAAACAGGTGTAGTTCTCAGAAAATTAGTTTTAAAATGATTAGTATAGAAAATCGAAACAGTATAAACGCTGAAGTCACGAGTTTCTCCGTCGTTAGTAAGAAGCAACTTTTATCAGTAGAATTCTGAAGTAGGATAATAATCATTGGTTACTGACGGGATTTTCTAAAATGTTTATAAACGATGTGCGACAACATTCATGGGCGTGACATCAAACTGAAAACGGAATGAATTATTAGTGTTTCTTATATTATCTTTCTTAGATGACAGACACATTGATATGTCGATTTCGCGAACACTTAAGGCTACTGATAATGACTAGAATCGCTCAACTTTTATACAAGAAACATATTTTATGTGTAACAATAATTTACAGAAAATAAAATCACAATGTACTTGATAAACGATTAGTGGATATCAATATTCTTTCATACGATAAATCATGTTTAAGAGTGGTTTAGTGACTAAGCCTAATAATGACATCAAGAATTTAACAATACTTCAACACAAACCTGATAAGCTGTACGTTTTTATTTGTTTAGTGTTTGGCTAGCTAAAATAACTAGATTACAGTCGATTTAACTACTAGATCGGACTCCCTGTACTTATGAAAAAAGTGGATTATAAACGTATGAAATAAAGTTAAGCAAAATAATTTTAGTTCAAAGCCGAGAAACAGTGATTCCTCAAAACACTCCGTAACATGTAACGCATGCGCAAAATACCTTTTACCCGGGATTTTTTTTACCATGTTCTTAAAGTGTTAAAATGTATGATACATTGAGAAGAGTCAACAATTAAAGGTCAAAACAAAGCTTCAGCTGAAAACATTATAGTCATTTTAAACTATTGAATTGAACAACTAATTCAGCCTATTGCCTGCATAATTTAAAAGCTCATGTTTTAGTTACACTCTCAGTTTCTTTTGAACTGATAATCCAACCAACGATCAAATACAAAAGGGCAAGTTACATTAAAAATAATAAGTCGACAATGACTTGTGTTTGATCGATATTTTGAATGAACTGATGTTAGAAATATCAAGTACTAGATACTTACACGGTGGTTTAAAATTGGTCCTGAGTTTGATCCATGATACGGTCATAAGGGTACACTCCTGAGAAGTTTTAAACTGGGACAAAATGCTATTCGATTCTCTTTGATCTTCAATGGTTCCCCAGTAAGTCCCATTTAATGTCGTAAACTATCATTAAATTGAACAAAGGATCATAAAACAACTTAGCTCAAAAACATTTATCTCATATATAAATCAATATTTACAACCTCATGTACACTGATTTGTTATTTCTTCAAACTTTTAATATTGTTAATCGTCGTCAATTGGATAGCACTATTTTTTCTTACAAACGAAGGTATATATTTATAATATTCAGTCTATTAATTTTATTTACACCCTTGCTATGCTATACGAATATTTTTTCAATATAATTTCCAACCAAACTCTTTCATATTACTAATTCAAACCCATTATGTAATTATGATTTTAAATATCACAGGTTATAAGCAACTGACGAGAACCTACGAAATAAAATGAGTTCATGTTATTCTGCTAGAATCTTTATTCTTGCTCTTTACAAAATAATAAAGGGAACTATGTATATGAGATTTTTTATATCATTATTTTTAATGATGTTTTACAATGGTCATAGCTAACGAAGAAATACAATCATTTCATGAATGATTTCTTTCATTATAATAAGTGGTAAGACAGATAAATAAATAAAAACATCAGAAAATACATATTACAGTCTATTGTTTAGTATTTACCGTCGTTTAATCATTAAATTATTTAATATTAACTAAACACTTATTAAAGGCAATAAGATGAATATCATAAACGTACTTATTTTACCCAATAATAATTCTATGAATAATGCATAGAAATTTACAAAATGATTTGTATTATTTTCTCTTCTTCTTATTCACTGATAAAGATAATAAATTAAATTACTAAAAGTTATCAAATCTCTATTTGATTATTTCCCATGTACAAACAATCCAAGAAATAAGCATACAATAAACTTTTATTACTTTATCATATTATTCAATTCTAGCTAACGTTTAAACAGTGAATTCAATATTCATCATACATTAACATATACAAAATATTTGTTCTAGTTTATAGAAAAATTGGTTATTTACAATCAAACAAAAGAAAAATTTTTTTTCTCTTTACAAATATAGATAATCAAAAAATGACGAATATTTAAGCGAACAATTATTTTCAATAACTCCATCATCAGGCTCTACAGTTATGGGTCCATAATTATAATGTGTTACAAAGGTTAAAAATAAGGGATGTATTAATGAATTTGATAATACATTCAGAATAGTAAGTTTTTTTTCATTTTTTTTTCAAAAAAACCCCTTGTTTCAATGAATATTGAATAATTCCAATAGGTATCTTCTATTATGTAATATGAAATGAAATTATCATTGAATTAATTTGTATAAATATTAAAAATTATTATTTTTTACATAATTAAATTAATTTAACAACAACAACAACAACATTCTAAATATGATTCACCACGTAACATATTTTGAGCACATGTCCATGGCCATTGTATTACTTTTAATAAACTTTCTGTACATTCAGTTAATCTTTCTGAACATGGATTACAAATAATTAATAATATATAGATCCATGATAAACATAATGATATAGGTATAGCAAAAATAATTAATGTTATAAACCATAATACACTATTACAATGACGTTTAGATTTAGAAGACATAAAATTAAAACTAATTATTGTTGTCTTTTTTTAAAACAAAATTTTGAGTTACTAAGGTAATTGATAAATTAATATGATTGGATAAATTATTCGTTCAAAAAAAATCAATAAACACGTTTGATTGGACAACGAATCTCAAAGTTGTAGTAGTTGGATCACTTGATATATGTATATATATAGTCAATGATTCCTTTAATAAACCGTTGACATGTAAGTACTTTATACCTTATATAAAACTTATGTCCTTTTTTATCCATATAACTAATTTATTGTACTTTAATAAAAGTTAATTTAGTCAACATCAAAAAACTGTTTTGATGCACAAATTATTACAAAACAAAAAAATCGATAGGAAACACTATAAATGAGTAAGTGTTGATAATAATCTTAAAGAACTTATATAAAACTGAAAAGTATACAGTAAATATTTTTAAACAATCATTGTTTTTAAATAAATTCTATTTAATTTCAGGATGTAATTGTATTTAACTCTGCCTGGAGTCCCTCAGGGGGCTACTGCCGGTCCCAAGCCCGGATAAAGAAGGACGGTTGGGCATGGGGTTAGCGACCCCATCCCGTAGAAAATTAACTCGCTAAAAAATGCTAACCAGAAAAAAATTATTCAAACCTTTTAATTCTATTTATTTTATTATTTGATTTGATTGGTCAACATGATAAACTGTTAGTCATTTTTCTAAGTTTCGAGAATTCACTTTTCTATTTGAGCTTTTCTTTTCTTTTTTTAAAAAATCTTTTGTTTTCTATCTCATCAAATAAACAAGAATTAAATGTCCAGTTGTATTCGTTACGTTTTAATTTCCATGGAGAGAAAATTTTTAAAATTGTTACTATTTTAGTGATCGACTAAGAAGTTAGATTTTGAAAAAAGATGATTATTTAAGCCCATATATGAAATAGATATGTAAAAGGTAATTGCCTAAATACAAAATGTGAGTAGAAAACGAGAATGAAGCAGATTTATGATAATGACAGCTCATAAAGTTAGAAGTAGGTTGGAACATGTCACTTCGAAACAAAAATATAAGGGAATAAATAACCAAATTAAAATTAATCCAAGTTTAAATAGTACAAAGGAACAACACTAAGTCACGAAACTTCAGAAAATCTAACTTTCTACTCATTGAGATATTACAAATATATTTTTATTTATAACAATCACCCTAATGCTCAATTTATTCGAAATTATCAAACCAAACCTTGGTAATGATACCTAGAAATATAAGGCTTGAATCGATAAAGTTCTAAGCTTCTTGAGTGTAAAACATTTTAATTTTAACTTTTTTGAACTAGATTCCTTGACTTGGGGATAAATGCTGATCCTTTTAGAGATAGATGACTAAAACAGTCCATAACGTATTAATAACTCAGTCTGTAAAGTACACAGTTTCATAAGAGACCATGATCTACTTTACTAAACTTGCTCGTAATTTTTACTTTTCTAACTTAGAGCTCGATGATTGTCGATGTTTCGATTGCATTCTCTGAAGAAAGTAAGAGAATAAAATCATATATTCCAATTATTGTAAATTGTTTTCAATTTCCAAGACATTCTGAATGTGAATACATCATATGTTGACTTAATGTGTGTATATATTTTGACAAAACCTTTAAAAGAACGTAATTTTGTTCGCTTACATATTATCAGGATTTTATTCAGTTTTGAATATTAATCTCTTTATTTTAGTTTGTTATTGATTATTAGTTAAATCAGTTTGTAGTTGTTATTGAGGAACTGCAATATAAGTCGTGAATATCACAGTTACTGTTTATTGTGTTTATAAAGTGAGCAACCACTTCCCGTAGAAAAAAACCTTGCTAAAAAATCACTAACCAGTATAAACAATTTAAATTACTTAAACTCTCTCCTAGAAGTTCAGTCAGCTACAACTTAGGACCAGGCTCATATATGCATCGGTCCAAGTTGCCATACCTCATTAACACAACAAGATCAACACCGGATTCATAAAAGTAGTTAATTCAGAGGTGGTAATACATAAAAGAAAGATTGCAATAAGGATATAGTACAGGAAGAAAGAATTAGTTCGTAGAAAAAAAGATATGAAAAAATTTCAATCTCTTAGTTTAAGAGAAGACAGAGTGTATAGACCGACGCCATCGTGATCGATTCTGAGCCGTCATCAAGAGTCTACAACCATTGGTTACGATAGTCACGCGAACCCCAACCGAGTATTCTGCATCTACCAACATGGCTCAGACTAGAAGTTAGTGACTTCAAGCACTAATGCCACGATTTGGTTTGACCGCCCCTAACTTTCTTCCAACCATCTCTAACACCGGTTAGCATTGCACGTCGTGGTAATCGGTGTTTGGGCATACGTAACACGTAGCCCAACCATCTCAGTCGATGAAGATTAACAACCTCCTCGACTGATTTACCATCATTACCTAATACCCTGCTCCTAACCTCACTATTAATTACCCGGTGATCCCAACAGACGCCAGCAATATTCCTAAGGCATCTGTGGTCAAATACTAGTAGTTTACGAGTGTCTTCTACTCTTAATGGCCATGTTTCGCTGCCGTAAATTAAAACAGTACGGACTGCCGCGCAGTATACTTGTTCTTTTATTGATAGACGTATATCTCGCCTTCGCCATAGGTGGTGACATTATAGCGACTAACGTTCAATTTAGTTTTTTCTTATTTCACTCAGTTAAGCCCTTTTGTTAACTTATTTAACGGACAAAGTCATCCATACTATAAAAATTCACTGTACCTTTATTATTATTGTACTTGTATGAAATATGTATGCTTGAACATGGTTTACCGCCTACGCATATATTCATTCCGCTAGCTTTATTATTAGCTGCTTAATCGATTCGGTGATTCGTCCATTTCCTTATATATATATATATACATTTACACTATATATACAGTGCTACTGCTACTACTACACTCGCAGTTCGCTGACTCATTCGTTTGGCCTCTGCTTTGTGGTCTGAATTATCTGCCAATAAAACTGTAGTAGCTACCTCTTTCTATCTTCTGATTTAAAACACCGTGGAAGATTATATGACAACAGTACGAGGGTGATTAGTAATCGAAGCACAGCCACTACAGATTTGGCGATCCCGACTCGCGAGCACGAAGCAATCTTCGACGACATAATCCAATTCCGAAAACCCAACGCACTCTATTTCGATTCGAGCTTTGATTTGGATTATAATCATAACTGTGGATTTATTATCTCACTATTTTAATTATACGTACATTATCTCACAAACATTATTGAATATAACGATAATATTCATACCAAACAACGATATTTTACAGACAATTGGTATTTTGGTGCAGTTGAGTAGGTCCGTTCTTTGTTATAAATTGTGCCATTTGTTATTATAATTGTTTTTATCGATTCACTTCTCTCTGTGACATTCACATTATATTTGTATACTTTTTGATTTTTATAAAAATGTCTTTAAGTAACGACACGATAAACATTTCACAAACGCCGTCCGTGAGGTCCATTAATGTAACCATTCCCCCTTTTAAGGTCGCAGACCCTGAACTTTGGTTTATCAGGCTTGAACATTACTTTGTATCTAATTGTGTGCATACACAGCGAGATAAATCTGGCCACGCGAGATCACTACTTCCAGATGAAGTAGCAGACAACGTACAAGAGGTCTTATCTAAGCCAGACACAGAAAAGCCATACGACGCACTAAAGCAGGCAGTGATTAAAGCCGTCTCATTAAGTGACCGGCAAGCCGTCGAACAGCTTCTCAGTCAAGTGCAGATAGGAGATAGGACTCCATCCCAACTAAAAAAAACTATATGAGAAGCATAATCGGAGACAGAAAAGTAGATAAAAACATATTTTACCAGTTGTGGTTACGACGACTTCCAGCGAACATGCAGCAGATCCTTGCAGTTGAGGACAGCGATGTCGACATAGACAACATTGTAAAGATAGCTGATAGGATTTATGAGAGAATGAAACAAACGAGTCCGCAAAGACATAGTACCACAGTAGATGAACGAATCGATGCATTGCAAAAGGAGATGAACGTTTTATGCCACAAGCTGACGAAGCTAAATCAGAGTGATATGCAAAGGAGATGGTTTCAAAACAGATCAAGAGAGAGAAGCCGATCATGTTCTAGGAGACGCTCAGCCCCCACAGTATGTTGGTACCATCAAACTTTCGGCGACAAAGCTCGAAACTGTAGACCACCATGTAAATTTAAACGACCACGGAGGCTAGGCCCAAAAAGGTTGAATATTGCGAAACGAGAGTTCGAAAAATTGATGAAGCTCGGTATCATAAGACCATCTAATAGTCCCTGGGCATCTCCGTTGCATATGGTCCCGAAGAAGAATGGGGAAATCAGGCCATGTGGAGACTATAGAGCTCTTAACAGGCAAACTGTAGCAGATAGATAGCCGGTACCGCATATCCACGACATTACCACCAATATGGAATGTGCCACGATATTTTCAAAAATTGATCTCGTTCGGGCCTATTACCATATTCCCGTAGCGGCAGAAGATATACCTAAAACGGCTGTAACCACTCCATTTGGGTTGTTTGAGTTTTTACGAATGCCCTTCGGATTAACTAATGCAGCCCAAACCTTCCAAAGATTCATCGGTCAGGTTGTCAGGGGTTTGACAGGAGTACACGCATATATCGATTATATACTAGTAGCTAGCGCTACCGTGGAGGAACACCTACAACATCTACGACAGTTGTTTACGAAACTTCAAGAACATGGCGTCACTATTAACGTGGAAATGTGTGAATTTGGAAAGCAATCATTGCAATTTCTAGGTCATATTACAAATTCACATGGTATCATGCCAGTTCCGACAGAAGTTGCTGCTATTCGTAATTATTCGTTGCCCGATTCACAAAAAAAAATTACGACGATTCTTGGGACTAATAAACTATTATAGACGATTTATTCCAAACTGCGCAACAATATTACAACCATTGACGGACGCTTTGCGAGGACATACCCGAACATTCCGTCTTTCAGCAGATGCTATACAGGCTTTTGAGAACGCTAAGTGAGCGCTAGACGAGAAGACGATGCTAATACGACGAAAGGACAAAGCACCACTAGCCGTCATGACAGACGCATCGAACATAGCAGTAGGAGCCGTATTGCAGCAGTTAGTAAATGGTTCGTGTGAACCACTTTCATTTTTCTCTAAGAGATTAAATCCTACTCAAACGAGATATAGTACGTTTAGAAGAGAACTATTAGCAATTTATTTAGCAATAAAACACTTCCAACATATGGTTGAAGGCATGAATTTTACCGTCTATACAGACCGCAAACCACTAACGAAGGCATTAAGCGCAAGGCAAGACAATTATTCCCCGAGAGAGATCCGACAGTTGGAGTTCATTTCACAGTTCACGTCCGATATACAATACATTAAAGGACAAGAAAACGACGTGGCTGACGCACTGTCAAGAGCAACAATAAACACGCTTATTGCAAGTGGAATTGATTATAACGGTCTGGAAAAATTGCAAGAGAGAGACATCGAGTTAAATAAGCTCAGATCCGAGGGTACGACATCATTAGTGCTCGAAGAGGTGCGGTTCGGTAACACGAAAGTAATATGTGATACACCAACAGGCCGACCGCGACCATTTATCTCGAAAGCGTTGCGCCAGAAAATATTCGAAAGTATGCACAACATGTCGCATCCAGGAATAAAAGTCACAATAAAGCTGATCAGTGAACGATTCGCATGGACAAACATGAATCACGATGTGCGTAATTGGACACAAGCATGCATGAAGTGCCAAAAAGTCAAAGTACATCGTCATACTAGCTCTGCAGTAGGTCCATTTTCGCACCTAGACACTAGATTCGAGCATATACACATCGATATTGTAGGACCACTACCTATTTCGAAAGGATACAATTATATCTTTACATGCATTGACAGGTTTACACGATGGCCGGTAGCAATACCGATTAAAGACACCTCAGCCGAATCGGTAGCCAAAACCGTAGTTGAACATTAGATTTCTTACTACGGCATACCAACGATTATCACAACTGATAGAGGAGCACAATTTGAAAGTCGACTCTTTCAACAGCTTACAGAACTCCTCGGTATTAAACGAATTCGAACGACATCTTACCATCC